ATATTTGTATTTAATATTCTGAATGCGATAAACTTTTCCTTTTCACTCTCTCTTTTTTGTTTAAAGAGATCACCTGAAACCACAGTTGGATCCCCTCTAGTTTCATATTTTTGGTAGAAAGTTAAGTGGTTTATCATGTTTGCTCTACAGCTGCATTAGCAGAGCATTGAAAAGACTCTTTTCTAGTAGGGGAGAATTTACTGTGGATTAAGTTGGCTTTCAACATGGAGGCGTTAAATTCAACAGATGATACTTTCTCCATCTTTGCATCTCTCTTCATCTGGAAAGTAATATCCCCTTTATGGCTCAGATGCATTTTAGAGACAACAGACAGCACCTTCAAACCTACCTGGTCAGGATTGAACCGAGATGCAGATTAAAATGCAGTTAGAGAGAAAGTATTAAACTAGACCTTTGCACGTCCAGGTGATGCTTGCAGTTAGACATACGAGTATATACAGTCCTTGGAGCTGCCTGCACGAACAGTTGGAGCTGGCTGGTGCTATGCTCTGTCTGAATTGTAGCCAAGTAAAACTGGATCTGGACTGATATGTAGATATCCGTATACTTGTCTCATTCCAGTTCTGCTTATCAGGATTGTGTTCTCTCTAAAAACTTTATAGTTAAAAATACTGCACCAAGCTTAATGCTGCTCATACATTGCTTTTTAAAGGCTTTTAAATTCCTATTATTGATAGGAATATATTGTTAAGTGAGAAACCTGAAAAGAGAGTGCCTAGATGGTCTTTGGCCTTTTGACAGTGTTGTGTTAGTTTTTCTCATTAGATTTTAGAGTAAAATACAGAATACTCCCCTTTTACTTTCTGTTAAATTCTTTACATGGATATTTGCTCTGATTTAATTTTTCACAGCCTCTAACTGAACTATAATTTGGAACACATTTCATTAATAAATACACTTTCAGTTTGCACATGTTAGGAATTTGAGGTTGGACCTGAATGTAATTACCTTTCATCTCTCTCCATTGTTTACCACCATCTCTGTGTGACAGCATATAAAATGCATCATTATTAAGCTCCTATTCTAGAAAAACAGGATATTATAAATTATATAAAATGATAAAATCATATAAATATATGGAAGGGACCTGATACTAATCTGAAAATCAATCTCATCAGACTTTATGGTTCAGTATCTTTATACTTGTCTGAAATAATTCTGATTGGATAGTATGTTCTTTTTTCAAAAAAGGTGCATTGTACCCCATCCCCACCTTTAAAACTGTTTATTTTCTAACTATAAAATGGAGCCCTTAATTGGCACACTTATCAAATGAATATCATTGAAACAAATCTCCTCTCAGATATAAAGCTACTTGTAGTGTACATACTGTATAAAAACATGGCAAGGGGAGAATAAGATATATTTAGCTGAGATAAAATGTTTCATCAAGGTCAGATGGGAGAAGATGCAGGGTTTTTTTTAATCATAATAGAAAAACAAAACCTCCAGGATATTCTGTTTTGGAGAACCGCAGTGGAACAGCAACAGTTCTGATCTTGCCATAAACAATAAAGCTTTGCAGGTTGTTTTTGATGAGTGGTGGAATCTGCAATGACCTCTAAAAAAACAAAGGATTTGTTGAATTTGTATCAGTATACTTCATCCACAAAACTTTACTCCCTCTTCAGAAAATGTTTACACAAAGATGCTTGATACATGCATGTATAATATACTTGCATATTTATTATTTACCTTCACTTATGGAAAGCAAGATAAGTATTTTATGCTACAGTCTTTATGTGATTTGTGTTTGAAAGCAAGCCCAACTATGCCTAACTTTTGCAAACTGCAACAAGTTACATGCAGGAGATTGAAAGAGAGAGTGCTTTGGGCTTCCTAAATGGTATCTGCAAGAACCCAAAAAGTGACAGGAATGTAGCCTACCTGTGACATAATCTTGGCTCTGCTCTGTTAAATGCAACCATTTCAATGGCAGATTTTTTAAAAAAATTCTGCAATAGAAACTCATGGATGCACAAAGACAGATATTTGCACCTTCCCCTTCTCTCCTCTCTCCCAACATCTACATTGGTTGGAATCCATCATAATTTTATTGACCTTGGTGGAGATACGCCTGATTTACTGTGGGTTTGGACTCAGGTCCCATGAATGTAACTTATCTCAAAATATGGCCAGAGGGAAGAGAGTGAAAATGTCTAAATAAAAAATAGTGTTGCACATTTTGACATTTTTTACATTGTTGGGTTGCAAATAGTTGAATAAACTTTGGCCAGACCTCAAGAATGCCCCCACAGTTCATGGTTTTTAGTTTTTGCTTGCTTTTCTCATCAATATTTTCTCTCATATCAGCTTAGATGTTGATGATTCCTTTCTGTAATTTGTGCAGCTTCACTTTCCTTGAATAATTTCAGAAAGAGCTAAATATACGTGGAAATGAAGCCATTGGTAATTAGTCTTTAAAAGACAGTGTTAAGAAGACCCAAGCTGTTACAATCCAGATCCAAAAACTGTGGATGCATTTAAGATGTTTATGTATTTCCTTTCTTCACTAAGAAGAACCTGGATTCTTTTTTTTTTTACTTTTTTTTCCTCCAGGAAACTAGCTGCATCTTCTTTATTCTATATTTTGAATGATTCAAATAAAAATGTTGTTGGATGATATTTAATTTCTCTGGCTAAGTAAATGCAATTGCTTTCTCTGTATACTAAAAAAAATATTTGCAGTCTCACCCCAAAACTAAGGCAGCATGCCTCCAATTCTTCATCCTAAATTATACCATTAGTTCTCTTGTGTCAAAAACTCCAGATCATTTTCTTTTTCTTGGTCTTTCTTATTTTTTAAACTTTGTAGAACTTTTATTTACAGTGTTCCATATATCAGTGTATATAAAAATAGATGCCTATTTTCGGGGTGAGGGTTAAAACGTTATGTGGGTCTGAATGTGTGAAATGTTCTATGGAAGAAAGCTCTGTAAGCAAAGGTGTAAATGCACTGTACGTATTCTAAAATTTAAATAGATTGTACATAATGAATTGTAAATCAGTTGTAAACAAGCAATATATATTTTCTTGAATATATTACATAGTGGTTTATATTTGTTAAATAAGCAATTATGTATACTCTTAACTAGCCATTTAATATTTTGTACAGATAAGTTTATTAAATATTTTATTGATATATGCTTCTCTACATTTTTCTTCAGAATTTTGCAAAAAAAATTCCAACTCTAAGCTATATCCATATTTATTCAGTTCTTTTACCCCACACGTGCTTTATCGTCATCGCTGGATTTTTAATTCCCCCAAATCTTGTGCAGGATACTGCTTTTCTCACTTGGTATCTAGAGACAGGGGAAGTGTCACCCAGGTGAAATAGTGACAAAGATGTTTTATTTCACTCTTTCAGGATTGAAAGGCCAGGAGTTCAACCTCTAAATTGGCCAGTTATACAGGAAAGATAGATGTACAGTAGTTGTCAGGAAATGTATACATTCCACACACCCTTCTGCATCCTTCTGGATTGAGCAGCTGAGGGGAACTGCCTTTCTGCCTGCATCACTGAGTAGGGCAGTGGTTCTCAACCTGGGGACTATGGACCCCTGGGGACCCATGATGTCATAAGGCAGTGATTCTCAACCTTTCTAATGCCGTGACTCCATAATACAGTTCCCCATGTTGTGGTGATCCCCAAGTGGGTGTGGCCACCAATAAGAGGGAGTAGGACAGCTAGGGAAAAGGGAAAAAAATGGCGGACAGCATGGTTTGGTGACCCCCGTGAAATGGTCATTCGACCCCAAATGGGGTCCCGACCCACAGGTTGAGAACCACTGTCATAAGGGGTCCATGAAGTCTTGAAGAAATGTTATGATTTAAATCTTGAATTAAATCCTGGGAGTCCATGGCCATGATCTATGGCCACAAAAGATATTTAAAGAGGGTACAAGGTGAACAAAAGGTTGATAATCTTTTGTATGGTTTTTCTATTCTGGTTTTTCTATCTGTGTCAGAATGAGCCAGTGCTTGAATAAACCATTTCTTAAGATGATGTCCATCCAATATGTAGTAAGTCAGCTCTATACCACCTGGGGCCCTCTGGTTAAATGGCTTTCTGCCTCCAGGTTCTGCCTAGCTTCCAACATGTGAGCATCACCTCTCACCACAGCACCTGTATGCTAAGGGAAGATATTATCTAAGATGTAGAAAGTAAGGGAGGTCCTTGATGGAGATGTGCAAACACCCTGTGATAAAGATAAAACATATTTTAAGGCCACAAAAGAGGGATAACATTTGAAAGAGATACATATAGGGGTCGCCCTAATTCACTTAAGTATAAAATGGGGGAAGGATGGACAGCACAATCAGACTTGCAAGATTCTATTATAATAGCCAATCTCAATAACATCAGTTTTTAGCCTACTTGTGGAGTTCATTTCTTGGTTTGGTCTATTTAGTGGGGCTGATGTCACCTTGCTTTATCTAATTCAGTGTTTCTCAACCTTGACAATTTTAAGGCATGTGGACTTCAACTCCCAGAATTCCACAGCCAGCATTGCTGGCTGTGGAATTCTGGGAGTTGAAGTTCACATGCCTTAAAATTGTCAAGGTTGAGAAACACTGATCTAATTACAAGACGCATCTAGAGGCTACTCTTTTATACCAGACAATTTAAGCCAAGCTGTGTTTCACCATTCTTTCAAACTGCCTATGTTCCACATTAGATTTCCATTTCAAACTTCTATAGGGACATTCCTGTTATGGCAATATTTTTTTTTCCAGGAAATAGTCTTGTTCGAAACCAGTCTCCTGGTTCATTCATTAAAATGAAATCAAGGAAGAAGAGGGTAACTAAATGAAAAGAGGAGAACCCCACCATAGGTCTCCTTCTACCAGTATGTGGGCAGCATTTTAATATTTATTTAAGCTTCAGTGGGCTATGAATTAACATCTCCAGAATCCTACCAGTGGTCTTTATAACATTCAAAATGGGAAGCCCTCCATCTCCGTCCCCATCATGGACAGAATAAAATATGTCAGTGCTGAAGAAAATGTGACAAACTGACTAGTAAAGGTGACAAAATGACTAGTAAAAACCACACAGCAAATATATAAAAAAATGTTCACCTGAGTCATCATCTTTATCATCTAATGTTAAGGAGTTCATGTCAACGACTAACACTTCTTAGCTATGTGTTCTTTTACACAAGGACAATGGTGTTCTCCCTCCATGGTTTCATTTTATACATAAATTGCTCCATAAATTCTGCACGAACACTGCTTAAAGCAACAGCAACTTTTGGCAGTCACTCTATATTCCCACTCTATAGCTTTCTCTTTCAGTGTTATGTACTGCTTTAATTACTCTTGGTCACTAGGAGACTCTCAGTGGGTTCTTACATTGCCTAAATTTCAATAAAGAGGCTTTGGGGCACACAATAATCTCAAGTCTTAACTTGACCCCATGACCCTGAAAATAAAATGACAGCCTCCAGGGTACTAGTGGGTTTTTATCATTCCACACAAAGTGTTAAGTAGGTTTACTAACTGCCACATTCTTTTCTGTTATTCAAACAAAGTATTAGAATAAGGAGAAGATCAGAATGGATTAGTGGAAATAATATGCTAAATTATCTATTGGTCATAATTTTTATGATGAATATGTTTGTGTAGATAATAACATTTAGAAATCTTATAAGCTACTCTTTGGATATAGACAGTCTGCTTCTTGTGCAGAATGTTCGGCCTTTCTACAAATACAACAATTATATTTAATTTTTAAAAGCAAGTTCCTCACCCAAGTTATTATAATGAGAAATTGTGTAAAGGAAAGTTTTATTTATTCATTTGATTTACATCCTGCCTTTTCTTCAGACACTCAAGACAGAATTCAACACTTCCTTCTTTTATTTTCTCTCACATCAACAGCAACCCTGTCAGGTGGAATGGGCTGAGAGAGAACGATTGGCCTAAAGACACATGGTGATGATGGACTTGAACCTATGTCTCCTTGCCCTTACACCACTATACTTTATCTGAAAAGTGAGCGTGAAGGTTTGTTCTCTGAGCTTGTGGATTGGTTTCCAAATGTTTCGTTACCAGGCTAGGTTACATCTTTACTGGCAAACCTCTGATGACTCACACCTAATCCATCACAAGACCCTCATTTGACACACCCACACCTGAAGCCCTTATAAACAGATGAGCTCTGACACAGACTTCCCCTAAACGCCACTGAAGATGTTATCTAACCTGGTAATGAAACATTCGGAAACTAACCCACAAACTCAGAGAACGAACCTTCAGCCTCATCCTACACCCAAGCTACAGATATTTGCCATTATTGCATATCTGAAAAGTCACAAGCAGGTTAGGAGGTCAACTCTCCAACTCTGTTAATTCCCCTCAGCAGTTAATGATCAATTATCTTTTGAGTGTGGGAATTCAGAAATGTCAAAAAATGCATGAATTAATATAATTCCATTTATCTGTATAGGACTATGGAAATACTTAGAACGTACAGAAAGGATAAAATAGTACTAGTTTTTCACTCATTAAAGCCACTGTATCTTTTGCAAGACTCACTTGCTCACTCCTCCTACCCAACTACGTACACATGCAACCCATTTGCTTTGTAAGCAGGTTGGAATAGCTTCTAGAGTAGCTTTTCAATTCATGAAAAAGACCTGACCATTTAAGTGATTCAAAAACAAGAGTTGCCCAGCTTTCATCTGTACTCGAGGCTTTAATTGAACAGTTGCTCTGTTTCACTCCAACCACATTTACAGAGTCCCAAATTTTGGCTTCTTCACTGATGTGTCTTTTGTTCTATCTGCACAAAATGGAACATGAGAGCAATTCTTTCAGAATTAAAAATCTGCAAATGAAACACACGGGAAGCTACCTAGGGGAAACATAGAAGATGTGTTAAAGATGACCTTTTTCTTCCCATTTTCATGATTTAACCATAAAAGCCAGCTGTGTGATCTTGGGCTAGTCCCTTTCTCTCTCAGCCCAAAGTACCTCACAGGGTTGTTTTTTTGTGGGGAAACTGGGAGGAGGAAAGTGTGTTGGATATGTTCACAACCTTGAGTTATTTGTCAAAATAATAAAGGAGGGATACAAACCAACCAACCAAATTTTTTTGCTGGGCACTCCCAATGCAAATCCCTTTTATTTTCTGCAAAGCAAATACTTTTCTCCATACAAACATATTTTGAAACTTGCAAAGCGATGAATAGCAATTTACAGTGTTGTGGTTGTTTGTTCTGAACAAACAAAGGTAGAAACGATTGTAAAACTGCACTCCTAGTACTTGCTCTTGCTCAGTTTATTCCATTTAATTCAAAATTAAAATGATAAAGAACATTTATTCATTACTTATCAATTTCAGTTTTCTGCCATTGGGAGAACAGCATTCTGAAGCAAAGATCAAAGGAATCTTCAAATGCAGAAAGCAAGAAGAAGGTAATGGTATTATTAATTAAGAACAATTCTTAAAACTAAACTAGTATTTTGCATTAAGCAATTATAGTTTACAAAATTGGTTTAAATTATCACAATCTTATATGCCCATGTGTTAACAACTAGTGAGCACAAACATTTTAAGCTTCAAGTGAAAGCAGGCAATGAATCCCTATGATTAAAATTGTGTCAGGAAATACTACAATAGTTCCAAGATAGGCTTATTAAGATGACCAGATAATGAAAAGAGTAGCAAAAATTAATAAGCATATTCTGAAAATAGTCTGTCACTGTTACAGATGGATCAAACTTCACTGCATGAAAGTCTCCTGTGGTCAGTGCTGGGTGTTTTCAATTAAATATTGAATGCTTAAAGAGTTTGAAGAGTTTCCTTTTGACAGGCAAGACTGTTACTACCAGATTATAAATGTTCCTCTGCCTAATCACATCTTACACACAAAAATATTGTAGGAATATGTTTTTTTAGATCTAAAAAACACTAGGATTAAATGAGACCAAGGAATAGAACAGTGTACAAACAACACAGTTATGTAAATGTAATGCCCCAAAAGAATAGTTTTTTACAGTCCAAAACCCCTCCTGAAATATTAGATACAATGCTAGTCATGCTTATGCCACCTGGATTCCCAATAATATTAGTATCTGCTCAAGCAATATATATGCATACATAGATCAGAACATTTAATACACCTATTGAAGTTTTATAATAGTTCAACACAATATCTGTTTATACACACATACAACTGGGGGGCGGGGCGAGAGGGAGATTTATGTTGATATACTAACCGCAGGCAATAGAGGTGCTAGATAAGGTTAGTTGTCCTATGAAATAGCATCAGGGTTGGTTTGGATTAAACTAACTTCCACCATTAGAAGAACCCACAAGGAACAATTGCAAAACTCTCCCTTTCTTTCTTCTGCTGATCCTGAGGCTAAATTAAGATTAATGTTTTAGATAGGCCAGTCCTCTAAGAATCTCCCTTTTAAAAAAATCCCTGCAGCAACAAAGAGTGGAGATGAAGCAGGCTGAGAAGGGGATGGGGCTGGTTAAACCTTGTACCCATCCTGCCTGCAATGGCTTCAATCAACAGACGAATCCTTTCCTGTATGATTAAAACAACCACCACTATCACACAGCAGACGGGGAGAGCCTTCCAGGCACCTTAGCAATGCCTGGGCTTCCTGCCAAGATGGCCGCTCTCTTTGTTGTCTGCTACCAGCTCGGAGTTTTCCTGGGGGTGGGGTGGGGGGGAATCACATAGCACAGAACCAACCAACCCAATCATCCAAACACAACTCCTAAGTTTGCAAAAATGTGAACCAAGTGGCAAACAGTTTCTTCTTTTTTTTGTCTATCCCATCCTGGTCAGCAGCAAATAGCAGTGCTGTTGGAAATGAGGCTTCTTCCAGTTGTGTCCTGGGCTTTTTTCAGGGTGGGCCAGAAGCAAAAAAGGAATTCAAATCTACAGCATGCCTATGTGCACAATTTTCCATTAGTCTCCCCTCACAATCACAGGGCTCTCCTAGTTTAGGTAGTGGTCAAGGTTAGGGAGATAAGGACAAGCATACAACATGGCATTTAACACAGGATGCTGTACAAAATAATTGGGTAGACCAGAAGAAGTGTGTTTCAGGATCAGCTTATGGTGCACAGGTAATCCCAAGCCTCTTTTCCTCCCAATTTCCCAAAGTATGAGCAACATAAGGCTTAATATATTTGCTTTTGTTTTTTGTGATTTGTTAAAAATCACAAACAAATGAAAAAAGGAGGTAGGGAGGAAAATATTCCATACCCAAGCAGTGACTATTTCTTGAGAAACAAATTAATAAAAGTGCAGTATGTCATCCAAGTTCTGTCTGTTCTACAATAACATATGCAGTTAGTCCTTGACATATGACCATAATGGAGCCTGCCCAACAATGTCTTATGGCCTTTTTGTGGCAGTTTTTAATCAAATATGGTAGTTACTAAGTAAATGTGAGTGTTAAGCAAAGCCATTGTTTTCTATGGCGAAGAACTTTTGTAACTTTGAATGGTAGATAAGCACTAAGCAACTACCTGTAACTCAGCAATTATTCTCACTGTCTGAAGCAAAAGGTTGCCACAAGCAGGGTATTGAGGTATCAAGGGCTTTGAATGAAGTGGAGCAGACAAAATGCTACTCTACTTTTAACATTTGCAGACCTGTAACCAACATACTTACAACTTTCTCAATACAGATAGTTCTTGACTTAACAACCTTTTATTTAACAATAGTTGAAAGTTACGACAGCCTTGGAAAAAGTGATTTGTGATCTGCCTTCACACTACCATCATACCACCTTCATATCACATGATCGCAGTTTGGGAGCCTTGGTAACTGGTTCATGTTTACTACTGGTGCAATGTCCGCCAGTCAACATGATCCCGATTTGGGATCTTCCCAGTGGTTTTCTGAAAAGCAACTTCAATTGGAGAAGCTGAATTTGCTTAACGCCTGTGTGATTCACTTAACAACCATGTTAAATGGCCATGTTGCAAGCACCTGAAATTGCTTAACAACTGTGGTAAAACTGGTCATAAAATCCGGTCTAATCATGTGATGACTTGCATAACAACCAGTCTCTATTGTGGTCATAGGTCAAGAATTACTTGTAAGAAGTACCATACTTTACTAATTCATTATTGGTTCTGCTTGTGAGCAACATAGTTCTTTTTCTGCACACCAAATCTCTTCCACCACAATAGAAGTTGAAATTAATTTAAGCAATAATAACAGTTTTGTAGTGATTTGCTATTCTAACATCATAACCATAAATTAGATGCTATTTTCCCCCAATGCTATTTTCCCCCAATGATAGTCGATTCTAACCCTAACCACCTCAACAACAATATAGGACACAATTATGGATGCAATACTACTACAATGTTGTGACAGAATGAATGGTGTTGATGAACAGACTGGGGCTTATATGTCAGAAGATCTAAACACCTTGATGTAATAATTCATACAATCCTGCTAGAGGCACTATGCTAGCTAGACACAGAATTAATGGCTGATTAATTCATACATTTAAAAAATCAAGATGGCACATGGAGGGCAGGGGATCTCTCTCTCTCTTTCTTTTTGTTATAACAATCCTGTGAGTTACCTGAACAGGTAGTCACTGTAGAGGGAGGCTGACATTGGCCTAAAGGAATCCAGGGCTCTGGTTTGATACAATCAGTCCCATGTGTTTACAACCTTACCTTGGGTATTTGTTAGAAACCTGTCAACAGGAATGTAATATGAGCCATCAGGTTAACACCATAGCTTCTAGAAAAAAGCAAACCCTAATGCAAAGACAAAGCAAGGCAAATCCATCAAGGAAGATTACATGGCCATAATACAATGAATTCCTCCTGCTATTTATTCTGTCTCCATCATAGCTTGGCGAGATCATCCTGTATCCAGCCTGTTATCATTTCAGCCATTTCTTTGCTGGAATCCATGACAAAAGAATGGTGGATTCCTTTCTCACAGATTCGAATATCTCCGTCTGGAAACTCTATCTTCATCTCTTCGTAGTATTGCAGAGGACACCATCCATCAGTTGCTCCATAGTAAAAAATCAGCTAAAATAAAAATAGAGAAGTGTCTTAAATTAAAGATTACCTGGGGGGGGGGGAAGAGACCAGAGCTAAATCCAATTACTAGACAAAAAACTAAGACATGAATAATATCCATGCTCCAAAGAGAAATTCAAGGACCATGGTATACTATGGTAGATTATAAAACATCGTACACATTTCTTAGAAATACCTAGGTAATAAATGTCAATGGTCAGATTTTTTTCAATGGAGATTATTGATGTTGTAAGACACTTTTCAACAACAGACTCCAATCAAGAGAGACCTATTGAGAATTATTGCATTGCCTAGCAACTCAATGTAATGCTAAGGATAGCCCTTGATTGGGAGGATATTTATCCACAACCAACACAGCAGGTAGAGACTACAGTAGATTTTTTTTACATCTGCTTATCTACAGGCAGAAACATTTCTTCTGCCAGGAAAATCCAGGAAGATTAGTCCCCCTACTTCTTCAAACTGGATGCAAAGCAAAAGTCTTGGATGTAAAAATTGGAACCCGAGGATCAACAGGATTTGTTTCCAAGCAGGCAACTTAGCATGGGCTGTTTATTTATTTACTTATTCAATTTGTATAGCCACCTATCTCAAACCAGTAACTCTGGGTGGCGAACAATCATCAAAACAAACAAACTTAGTATGGACTGTTGCACTTTCCAGTTGCTTTTGTTTTTACTTTTAGGGCCAAATCAGACATCATACTAAATGCGTCACTTTGTCAATTTTTTATTTTTTTTTTTAAAAAAACTTTTAAATAAATAGCAGCTGCAGATAGGGAAGGATTTTTCACTGGGATCTCAGCGTGCAGGGAAGGAAGGTGAACCCTTTCCTCCAAAACATGAACTGGGTGTCACAGCCCAGAAGAAAAGTGAACAAAGAAAATAGAGCAGATCCAGACTGCCCAAGGAAAACATCCTGACATCTTGTGCTTTGCTTGCAAGTTATCTCTGTGTAATTAAAAACTTGTGGTTTCTATGACCTTGAAAAATTTCATCACCAACAGGAGCCATCTATGTATCCCCGAAAAAAGCAAGTCCTTTCTTCTTTCTGGACTGCACAGACGCTGCACAACAGAGTCTCTGCATTTTTCCTTGCTTAAGCTTCAGTTCTTCCCGACCCATCATAACACTAGCCCATGACATAGAGTTATCAACTTCTGGGACAATTTTTGGGGATGATCAGCTTCTACTTCATGTTGTTGGCTCTCCTGTGCTGAGACATCAAATTCATGCTTTATATTTAGATGAGTGCTTCGTTTTGCACTACTGACCCCTTTCTTCCCCCCACCATAGTTCTATCAAAATCTGCCTTCTTATTTTATTGATACACTGGATGGAAACTGATCAAAGAGAGAAGCAACCTAGAACTAAGGAGAAATTTCCTGACAGTTAGAATAATTAATCAGTGGAACAACCTGCCTCCAGAAGTTATGAATGCTCCAACACTGGAAGTTTTTAAGAAGAGACTGGGCAACCATTTGTCTGAAATGATATAGGGTTTTCTGCCTGAGTAGGGGGTTGGACTAGAAGACCTCCAAGGTCTCTTCCAACTCTATTACTATTATTATTGTTGTTGTTGTTCTTGGTCTTGTTGTTGTTACCCATTGTACAGGATGACATACAATGAGGCCATCCTCTTATTCTTCCCCACAATGCCACCTGTCAGGAGATGGGGGGGCTGAGAATGATTGAGCCAGAGTCATCTACTGAACTTCCAAAGGTGAAAAATGATTAGAATTAAGCTTTTAGTTGATCGCTTGGATCACCATCCCACACTGACTATCTGGCTCAGATTTGGACCAAAAAAGATTTCCAACACAATTAAAATAGTTTCAGTTAATGCTCATTTTCTCCAAGCACCAAGTATTCAAAACAAAATGAAACACCCTATTTTTTCCACACTTCTGCTTCCTCCTCTTCCAACAAGACTTGTTTGGCAATTAGGTAGCCCTCAACTTACAGCCATTCATTTAGTGACCATTCCAAGTTACAATGGCATTGGAAAAAGTGACTTATGACTATTTTCCACACTTACAACCGTTGCAACATCCCCGTGGTCATGTGATCAAAATTTAGATGCTTGGTGACTGGCATTTATTTATGATGGCTGCAATGTCCCTGTGTCATGTGATCATCTTTTATGACCTTCTGACAAGCAAAGTCAATGGGGAAGCTAGATTCACTTAACAATCTGTTTACTAACTTAACAACTGCAGTGATCCATTTAACAATTGTGGCAAGAAAGGTCATAAGATGGGGCAAAACTCATCAACAACTGTCTTGATTAGCAACAGAAATTTTGGGTTCAGTTGTGGTCATAAGATGAGGCACTGATAGTAGTTCAAATCCAGCATAATTCTGAAAGGCCCTAGATTTCATATCTTTGTTCCTAAGACCACAAAATAATTAGAACTGAAATATGATTAACATTTGAATTTTACATTTACATATTTGTCAAAAACCCTGTCAAAAACCCCTCTCTATGTAGACTGTTACCATAACAATAACACAGTCCAACATTCTCTACCATATGTATATTAATTAGCATTTTCACCAGCATCAACACTATCCAAATTTAACCTTAGTAAATTTTCTTGATATTGTATCATCAATATGTTTTAAAAACAAACAGTAAAAACTTCAAAGTATTCCCTCACAACTCTTTTAAAACGAATATGTATTTAATTTTTGATAAATATGCACAATAAAACGGCAGTTAGTTAAGATTGTTATCAATGGGGTGTTTCAGCATTTCTAAGAAAGCAACTATTTTCTACAGTGATCCTATGCCATTAAAACTAAGATCTCTCAAAGAAAGTGTCAGTCCTAACAAAAATATGTTAGAAATATCCCTAAAAAATATTTCTGTCTGTTCTGTGGTTGCTAATATGGAATAAAAACTTCTAAATGTCTAAGAGTTATAGAGATCTCAGTGCCTTCAGTTCAGGTGTTAAAATTCATAGCAATAGAATCGTGCTAAATAAATCAGACCTTGTGACCACATTTATTTCCAAAACAGTCAATGCTCAAATAAGCCTGTGTTTAATTCAGTTATAACTTGAGACAAAAGGAAGGTTCTGCCTATGGTAACATTTGTCATTAAAAAAGCTTGGGCGAGCTAGATATGGCCCTATTGCCTTCTCATTCAATTAAAAACATTTACCTATCCAAGTTTTCCATCCTTAGGTTTATTTATTAACTCAAATATTGGTGGTGATGGTGGGTGTATGTTTAGTTTCTATCTCTTTTTAATCAGTTTCTCTCCCCTGCCCTTCTCTCTCTTTCTCGCCTCTTCATCATTAACTGAAAGGTTGTACTGCTGGTCTAATACCTCATAAAACAGACAAAATGGCTGAAATCTGATTTTTAACGCATTAATATAAAAATTATTTTTCCTTTATTTCCCTGTGGAATTTTTCCCCACTTCTTCACTCCCCCCCCCAAAAAAGTAATGGTTATAAAGAAATCTAATGCTCATATTTTGTGTTTTGGATTTAATGCATTATCACTGGATGCAAGCTGAAGTGTTGCTATTAATTTCCAAATTCTTCACTCTCAAATGCCCTATTACTATTAATTAGGAATGATATAGGATTTGCAGTCCAAGATATTTCGTGCTACATCAGGATGGCAGAGGCTAATGCAAAATATCCATGTAACGTCTGCTTCTTTTTACTCTCTTGGCTTGGTTTTCGTATGTTTCAAAGCTTCTATTATTGTTTTATATGGATGATAGCTATTTTAAAAGATATTCCTGTAAAAAAAGTAAATTCTATGGAATTGCAGTGGCAGATAAATATAGGAGAAAAGGAGTCTTCATTGATCACTGCCCCTCACCACCACAAAATGGAGAGATGTACAGTAAGATCATCTCACTACACAGTAGATTTAAAGTATAAGTAAAGAGTAATGCGATTTACTATTACAAATTTCATACTTGGCCTCAAAGACTGAAATGAATAGTAATTCAATAAGGAAACTTCCTTTAAAAAACCCCTTTCTTCATTAATGCTCTATTATGAGCTGAATCCATTTTACTTTGCATTTAATAATATATGCTACCACTTGACTAGAATATTCATTCAACAATACTATACAGCATGCACATTTAATTGAGTGCAAGTTGATTTACAGAAACCTTCCCTAACCTGGTGGCCTACAAATATCCTCAAGTTTCCAGTCACTATGGCCAAAGTGCTATGAATTATGAAAACTGAAGTCCAACACCTTTGGAGGCCACCGGCTTAGGGAAGGATGATCTACAGGACTTTGCAAATTTGGATTATGAATGTGAACCTTCTTGTGAGACCTTCTGTAGAAGTGAGCTATTAAAAGATGCCTGAGTAGTGAAATGTAGCCCAAGGAACCATACTTATTCTAACATTATTTGCTTTACTTTCTGCTCTCCGTGCTCAGTGTTGTCTTACCTCTCAGTTCTATTATTGGGCTTTGGTCACAAAAGGACTAAATTGGCACGCTATGTGGGCTAAAGCATGGTTAAGTGTTACATGCAGCAAAATCCTCCTGGGCTGCTTTTCTAACTTTGGACCTCAGCAGCACACCGTCCAAAAAACATCTGAGCCCTGCCCAAATGAAAGGTGTTCCTGGCTGCAGAGGATGTTTTAGACTTATTCATGCAGTGTATTTGAAGGATTTTCCAAACTGGAGGGAAATAATTTACTCTGGCTGGGGGAAGAAAGTCTGCTCTTGTAGTGTCTTCCATACTGCTGCTTTCCAGATTATGAATCTTTCAAAGGCAATAACTATTAGACTGCTATGGACAGCTTTGGACATTGGATTTTTTTTTAAAAAAAACCTGGGCAATATTAGACAAGCTGTTTCAATATAACTGACTCAAAATTGGTTTTGGCTGCGTCACTGAGCTCTTTTTCTCTAAGTTCATATAATGAAATAAGCCTGTGATGGAAAAAAACAACAACAAGGTTAAATTAGAGGGAGGAGGAGGAGGAGGAGAAGGAGGGGTTTCTTCCAAAGGCATTTTGACTTAAAACAGTGTTTCCCAAACTTGACAATTTTAAGGCATGTGGACTTCAACTCCCAGAATTCCACAGCCAGCATTGCTGGCTGTGGAATTCTGGGAGTTGAAGTCCACATGCCTTAAAATTGTCAAGTTTGGGAAACACTGACTTAAAATGTTGCATAGCAAAACACTTCATCCTTATGAATGACCAAGGCACAATAAATTTCCTCCCCCTCGGTTAGTTCCTTGCACATGCAGGATTCTGGCACTTGTAGATGGCCTCACCTCTTTTCTTTCATTGGCTGTTTATTATAGGAACACAGGAAGTTACATCACTCTGAGTCAAACCATTCATTCATGTAGCTCAGCACAGGGGTCAACAGCATGGCCTAGGGCCCGGTGATGTGAGGGGCTGCCTTTCTCCTGTGGTGCCTGGCTAGCCAATTTGAGCTGATAAGGCTGGGGATGTTCTGGCTTCTTTGGATTAAATAATGTCATCTACCAGTAGATGACATTATTTAAGGAAATGCACCTTCTCTGTTGCAGCACCTGCCATCAAGAATGAAGTTCCCTGAGATCTGTGTGGCTCCCAACCTGAAGAATCACAGAAGTTGTTCTCCTTGTTGTTCTCCCAGACCTTGGGCTAGTTGTTGTTCTCCCAGACCTTGGGCTGGGAGAGTGGTGCACCATTTGCTGGGTTGGTGGGATGTATGGGAGTCTGCTGAGTTTATTCTTTTTCTTTTGTTCCAGTTGATATTGTCATTTCTTGTTTCCATTATATCATTTTTAGAGTCAGGCTGCATCAAACTGAATAAACAAAGGTTTTCAGGTGCTACTTTCATTTTGAGATTTTACACAAAAAGGTAGCCTAAGCACTAAGTAGTCAATTACACAAATGCCAATGTTTCATGAGATGTTTGTATTTACGCCTAAGATGGAAATGCAGCATTTCACAAAATTTGTCACTCATGTGACATTTGTTTTTTTTTTTAAGTAATTGTGAAACTAGCAAGAATTCTGCCTTGTTTTCCCTTCTAGCCCAAATGACTAGAAGAACTGTTGTCTTCCTTCCTCAGTCCTCAGAAGACATGTCCAGAGAAGGAAAAAGCCATTGGTGCTTTCTCTCCTCGCTTAGGTGGGGATAGAGAAGAAGTGATGGAATCCACTAATTGGGGCCATGATAACTGTGATTTAGGAGAACATCTGAGCATCACTGTGGCCAGAATGAAAGAAAGCCATTCTTAAGCTGGCTTCCCTTTCATTTGATTCACTCATGGAAGATAAGGAACTGAAAACTGCACTGCAAAAAAGTCTCCAGAATATCATCAACTTACTAAAGGGTCCCTTTAAAAAAAACGAAATCCAACTTGTTTTGCAGCTTCTAGGTCCAATTCAAAGTGCTGGCATGAATTAAATATTTCTTCTTGGCTTTACAAATCTTTTTCAACTTGATGGATGGAGAGCGTGTAGCCATACAGAAGTTCTTGAACAAGAACGATCATAATGGCTGAGACTACAGGGAGATATATTTAGCAACATATATCCCTTATTCCTGATGTATGGACACTTATTTACGATTTCTGGAAAAGTAATACCAACACGCCCTTTTTTGAGAGAGTGGGAATAGGGACTGAAGTAGCCTAAAATCTTTGGCTCCCTGTTAATATCCATTAAAGTTTATCCCTTCACTTGGAAGATTGGTACAAATACAAATTGAACAAATAAATGCAATATAATTATACTGAATGAATGAAGCCTTCTAGAGCAAGCTGGATCATCTTTCTTCTAATAATTCTTCTAATTATCTTATTAATGGATAATATAGTATAGCAGCTGATACTTCTGTCTAGGCAAACAAACCGTTAGCAAGTCGGGACTGCACAGCCCAATAATTCACAGGCAGCAGAAAAACAGAGTCAGTGCCATATGAGGGTCCATACAAAGAGGTCAAATAAAGTTGAGGCATCAAACAGAGTCTATTATCCAAAAGACAAGAACCAAAGTCAGGGTGGAGGTCAACCGTCAGGGGTTGAATGAATTAAATAAGTCAGAAACAAGGTCTAGAAACATTATTGCCAGCCTTGTCTTTACAAACTAAAAGCTTGTAAAGCCAGAACTCATAAAACTCCATCCAGACTCCCATTATTGGCCATTAGGCTATTAAAAAAAAAAGTTAAACTCTACAACTGAGGAAGCTTCATTGACAAGTAGACTAATTCATTAGTCACAACTGCATCCCTGAGTTTGAATTCTCAATCTCCTCTGTTCACTAGAATCTGGTCTTTTCTGCCAATTTAGGTGAGGACATTTGGTTGTAGTCACTATGACATGATATATGCCATGGTACCTTCACATAAATTATGTGAATTACATAATTGGCATCAACTGCATTATGACATGAATGACATCCACTCTGGCACATGATGTCACTGTTCGTCAGATGTCTGCAACAAAAGGTCCTCTATCTTATTTGATTCTAAGATGAGACTCATGCCTCCCTTGTCCTGGTTTTTGGTTCAGAGAATAAACATGGTATGGCTAGAAGTGCAAATTCACCTTCAGAGGAATCCTGAGAAGACATGCCTTCAAATAAAATATAGAATTTCCTTTCTTGTTTGTTTTGATTTGATCCTTAAACTATTTTGATTGTTTCAGGTATGTGATTTATGTTTTATATTATATTTTTGACTGTAGATTACCCATGGGACTTTTTAAAATTAATAAGCAGTATACAAATAATACAAATTTATTATTAAATAAAATAGATAAATTAATAAAATGTAATGTCTTAATATCTAGTTTCCCTCTTTTGATGCTGTCAAATTGGGTTATTTTTATTCTAAAATATTCTTGTAATAGCTCACCTCAAACTATTACAAGATGAGATGAGGTACACAGAATCTTGCAAATAGACTCAAAGTTACTGAAACCTGGAATTAGAGCTGAGTGAAATGGAGTGGATTTGAAAACAGATAAACAATAAGGGTGGAAATAATTCGGAAAAATGGCTTTAGAGCCTGTGGGAACCCAAATGGAGTACTTCTTTGCAACTCTTTAAAGCTGCTGTATCTTTACACAATCACTAAGTTGTCCTTTGCAGCCATCACATAGCCTCAGGAAAAGATATAGAAGGCTTAAAAACTGGCAAGTAGATACTATATTTGCACCCCCATTTTGGAGTGGAATCTGAAGTGTTGAACAATCATAGCATCCAATGGAAACAGAATAAAAGTCTACCTTATTTAACTGCTGCTTTATTGTAGAATTGTCTCTCTGTTTAACACTTCTCATTTCTTGGCTTCCCAGGTACATGATGTTTGCTGCAGAAATAAGACACACAGGCATGCACATCAGAAAACAAAACTTATACAGGAAGTTATGTTTGGTTACAGTCTTCAAATTTTGACAACTTTAAGGATTATTCTCCTTGTTTCATAAAAATGTCTCCCAGTTGGTAGTTAATCCATTGCTTATCCTCCCTCCCTCCCTCCCTCCCTCCCCCCCCTCTCTCATTTTGGTAAAAAAATAAGAACACAGTACAGTAAAATTTAAAACTATAAACAGAAGGTGTGAGACATAAAAGGACCCAATAATTAAGCATAGGCTGACTAGTTTCTACTTTACTATTAAGTTTGTCTTTAAAACATTAATGTTTTAAAGATTTTAATATTCTTTTTTTAAAAAAATGAACTATTTTGCTAGACAATAGACATGTAATTCTTAATTAAAACATTTATGAAAAGAGTTAATTACACAAAATTACATGACTTGAGCACTTTTCATGATTGGTTTTCATGAAAATTAGCAAGGACCAACTTGAACAGTTCTAATGGACATTTCCCCTGAATAGCCTTTTCCTTAAAAGAAATAATGAGTGAAAGATTGTAAAGCAAAGGGAGTGATTTTTCTCAAGAGGCAAAGAAAAAGGAAATAACAATTGGACTGCTCCTTACCAGTGACCTCAAAACATTCAATGGGGCAAATTCCTATAGCACTTTAAGGAAGTGGAAGCAAATGACATTGAGACAGAAGAGAGGGCAGAGTTCAATTTCAAAATACCTAATAACTTTCCATATGACTTGATATCAATGTACTTGTCAGCTCAATTTAAAATTCTAGATTCAAGGTTTAAAGCCAAATTATTTGACATTTCACCATACAACCAAGTTTTTGGAATGATCCAATCCATCCCTATCATCTGGCTTGCACAGATTAGATTCTTGCTCCATAGTAAATTTGTATGGGATTAGTACATATGTAGTGAAAGGAATATTCAGGAGTGAGACACAATTGTCCAGAGTTATTGATTCTTCCCAGAGCTGTGAGAATTCAAAAACTTCAGAGTGCAAAGTTGATGATTTTGTGCACTGTACTTCTTTTATACCACCACAGGAATATGTTCCAAAGGAAGGTTGGTAGAAATGCAAAGACATTTTGGATCCAGGGGCCTAATGTTAATGGAAAGTTTCTAGCCCTCAAACTTTCTACCAAAGGAATCAGGCCTCCATAGTGATTGTGTTATGTTATCAGCATAGCTCTTCATCGATGGAGCAGTTCTTCCATTCTATTTATGTATGTATCATATTCTGTATTTATTTATGTATGTCATATTTTATGTAGTGTATATTGGAGGTGGTGACCCTTTGAATGCAACAAAATTTCATTTTAATGTATGCCGATTAGTGTACATTCAAAGTGACAATAAAGTTATTCTATTCTATTCTATTCTATTCTATTCTATTCTATTCTATTCTATTCTATTCTATTCTATTCTATTTATTCTATTCTATTCTATTCTATACCTACTTTCTATTAATAAATCCAGCCTGTGGTAGGTAGCTAACAATACAAAATAAAACATTTCCGTAAAACTACAAAGCACAGTATAAAACCTGTAATTGTTGGTAATATTAAAATTACAGCAAAAAAAGTTTTAAAAGCTAAAAAGCTGTACATTAAAAGCTAAAAACTGTACATGAAAACAAAGGACCCCAAAGAATAAAGGTAGAAGTCTCACAGTTTAAGACTATTTCCTTAGTGTAATAAACCATACTACTTCATTCTAAATCTGAAAACTGGACAACCTTAAAGTTATAGCCTGCACTGTTTTACAAAAGAATTCAAAGCAACCTAGAACACAAATCTTTCATTTAGAGTGGTGTTTCTCAAGCTTGGCAACTTTTAAGATGTGTAGTCCAGCTGGGGAATTCTGGGAGTTGAAGTCCACACCTCTTAAAACTGTAAGGTTGAGAACACTGCTTTACAGGAATAACCAAAATCCCTCCAGTGCCAGGAACACTAGCAGCTCCAACTGACCCAGCCAACACCCACCACCAACTTAGCAAATACAGGAGAAAGTCCCAAGATAATCTTGCATACAGTTATAGCTATCTGAAAAACATAATGACAGTTATTAACCAGGCATAAAAGAACAATGAACCAGACAACTTATCCTGCCATTTTAAAAGGAGAGTGCTTAGGAAGATGCTATTGTTCTGGACAGTAAAGGAGACAAGAGAAAAAGATTAAAAATCAGAAGGTATTTCTTTATTCCTAGGTCAGTTCTACTGCACTTAGGTATACAGAAAATTGCACTCTATAATCCTATGAATGACCCCTCTTTTTAATGTGGAGGGTGAGATGGTACCTCCCTCCCCTTTCTCCTTTTCCTCCATCAGGGATGATTAAGCATTGGTGTCCTTTTAGTCATGTCCCTTTGCTAAACAGAGACTGCTAACTGTGCCCAAAACACACTTGATTTATTTATGATGGTGCAACCCAAAAGGAACTCAGAATCAAGGACCAAGAAAAGAAAAGAGGGCTTTATATCACTGGTAGCTCTTTAACCTAACATGTCACAACCAGTGCTTAATATTTTCACCAGCTAAATTAATAGTACCCCCTTTACAGAGCTTAATGATCAAAATCAATCAAGTTTCTTTCAGTCTTTAGAACTATTTGACATTGATTCAATCAACCACCAATTGCCAGACAGAAATACCTGCCCATTCGGCACTGAAGTTCAAAACCATTGTTATAGTCATATTATGGCGAGGAAACAAAACAATGCAGGACTAAACAAAAGATGAATTGTGCTTTGAAACAATAATCTGCAACAGTCTTAGTGCCATTGGGTTTTGCTTAATTAGCTCCCTCCATCTCAAGCAACATTTGGAGAATAGCAAGTAGCAGTAAAATGCTTAGCATTTTATTTTCTTTAATGTGCCTCTACAATAAGGTATGGAACCTCTGACTATTAAGATGTCACTAAGGTACAGATCACTCCATTCCTCACTACTGGAAATCCTGGTGGGAGTTGTAATTTAACAAGATATGGCGGACATATGTTCCCCAGCCCTGCTTAGAAGCAAATGCTTTAATGGAATGGTTTTTCTGTCTTTCTCCAACTCACATTATTGTTCAAAAGGCAAACAAAGCATCTATAATATGTCAATTCATTTCCTCAAGGATTGCAACCTATGAAAGAAAAGCTAAAGTTTGCCAACAGATATTTTTCTGTATGCATACATTGGTGCAAACATTTCCTTTCCTCTGGGAAAATGGTAAACCTCATTCCATCTGCAGCAAGATTCATCCATCAGTTTAACCTATAATCTGAACCAGCTTGCACAGCCCACTGTTATCTTGGATACAGTGAGTGCAAGTTATCCCTGGAAGCTCTTAAGCTTTTGTTTTATTACTGCAAACTCCAAATGCCAACTGGTTGATGGTTTGGAGTAAAAAACTTATATTAGTATATAAATTTCACTAAAAACTTGCATTAGAAGTCGACCGGTCATAATGTGCTTGCGGCCATGTACACTGAGTTAACTAAAAACAAATAAACAAATGTTGTCAAACTAATTTAGGAATATAGGAATATAAGTGTAAAAGACTTAACCCGTTTAATATAAAGGCAGATATAAACTCTGATTTAGGGAATTAAAAATAAAGTATGTTTAATACCACTTTCTGTATTAACTTTTGCTCCACACAAAGCACCATAATGTTGAAGGCAGAACTGTAAATGAAGAAAAAAACCCCAAGCCATAACCAGTTGTTAAATAAGCAATTGGAACCTCTGTGACAATAAAAGTTTATTTATTTAGCTAATTTAATATGATCACATGGCAATGTGAAGAACATAAATGATTAAAAACCAAACAATAATAGAAAAATCAGATAACAATAATCCATACAACCAAGGTCCAGGATCAAGAAAAGCACCCCAATTTGCCAAAGCTCCAACAATAAAGGAGAGATTATAATACAGATACAATTGGAGGCCACAGGAATAGAATAATCAGTAATCTGAAATATGTATCTGTATGTCTGTGTGTGCATGTATATGACTTTGTGTGTTAATTCTGAAAAAATAATAATAAACTAAGCGTCTTTCCCAGCTAAGTGGATTACAAAGATAGCACCATCCAACTTCTTTTCTAATTCAACTCAGAGACATGCAGTTTGTATCTTAATTATCAAAATGTTCTGAAAAACCTTGGGATTCTACAAGAACTTTCTGAAAGACTATGGCTAATCTATGAGGCCAAAGCAGATGAACTGGGAAAATATATTTGGGAAATAGCCTTTGTATCATTGTTTTTGTCCAGATGATTTTTATTAAGTTATTGTAAACCACTTGTTATGATGATGTGGAAGAACAGATAAAAGTGGTGGATTCAATAAAAGCAAATTAAATTATGGTAGAAATATAAGTGAATTTCCCAGGAGAAAAATGTCCCAACTACCCTGAGGAAAGTATTGTGTATACTGCAACAACAAAAAAGACTTCTCAAAACTGAAGGCAAAAGGAAAAATGCCCTTCTTCTCTCTTTTCTGCTTTCTTCTGAAGTAGAAGAAGATATAAAAGCTAGAAGCAAGAAGAAGGTAGATTCATTTGGGTACCATTTAAAAAATGTTCAACTGAATTAGATTCAGATAAATTATCCCAAGGAAGAACTGAGATGTAGTTCACATCACCAAATTCAAATTCAGCCAAACCATACATTGAAAGTATATTTGTGCCATGAGGTAGTTATGACCAACCAACTTCTGTTCAAGGGATCTCATGCCATTATTAGCCATATTATGCATCCTTATTGAAGCTACCAGCTGTTCCAGCTTCAATAAGGATGCATAATATGGCTAATAATGGCATGAGATCCCTTGAACAGAAGTTGGTTCTACTCAACTATCTCATGGCACAAATATACTTTCAATGTATGGTTTGGCTGAATTTGAACCAACTGGATTATTTGTTTTCCAGGCAACTTTCTTTTTCTTGTGGCAAACTGTTGCTGCAATGGTATCATTGAGT